AAAAGCGTTTCAAATCTGTAAAACGGAGTTTTAAATCAATACATGGAAACAGTAAGTACCACGAAGGTTGCATGATCGTTACTTAATATTCCATTATTTTCAGGAACCCAGCAAAAATTAAAATTGATTATGAAGTGCTGTTCATATTTCTATTGCAAAAACTGCGTAAAACAGACGGAATTGAGAATATAGAATTGCTTGCGATATTTCTTTCTATGTGTTCTAGTGTGATGTTATCTGGAGCATCTGACGTGAATTCGATCCAGCATTTGCTAGGATGCATCCAATAACAGAGGATAACTTGCGATCAATTCTTTTTAATCATCGGGTCTGAATGATTGGGAGTACTTGTATTTCAAATTTAGTTTTGAAAAAAATGAAATAAAAGATTTGGCGTTGAATTCCACATTTTTATCTAGGACGAAATAAAGATGTTATTCGCTTGTCTGTCTTTTGTACAATTTTACTTACTGCTAGTTAACTTTTGTGATCTGTCGTAACCTGCATGCGACTCTTTTATTGATCCGAGTTATGATACTGTTCGAGATATACACTTTGTGTTGGTTTGAAATAATCTAATATTGATATTTATTAAGTTTATTGAAGTTTGGGGTCAGTGTATCTTCTATTTAAGTTTTTGACGTCTGTTCTGACCATTTTGTATTATAATGTCTCCTTGATTTCAACAAAGTAGACATCTTACATCAGATCCAGGAGTTGGAAACAACGATAAAATTAAGGTTTCTTGATTGGAAGGTGGATATCATTTGTAACTTCTGTACACTGAGGTTGGATGTTCTGGCAACCGTCATGACCATGTTAGGGTGGTGTCGACGGGACCATTGACGAACACGTCCATGGTGACCATGCTCAAATATTATTACTGAACCCCCCCCCCCCCCCCCCCCCCCCCCCCCCCCCCCCCCATGCATTATCGTGAGGATCCGATTAGTTCGTCTAACCCAAATTCTAGATTTCATTAAAATCGGATAATGTTTAACTTCCATTCAATCAGAAGTTTCAACTTGACAGCTAAAGACTCGATCGTACATGTCGACGTCACTAAGAATCCGAATAGTTACAGATTAAAACCAATTACTGCACTTTCAGCTGAATGGATGAGTACATGGTGTCTCTACAGAAAACAAAACGGAAAATCCCACAACACCAGCAACCTGGTCACCGAATATTGATATAAATGGCTAACAACACAGAAGATATTGCACAAAAACAAAAAAGCATGGCAATCATTTAAGTAGCAGATCATTTGACCTTTGGCTAACTGACTTTAAAAAAGGGACATGCATTACTCATCTGAGCAGAAAAATGTACGGAAATTAAAGAGCTACTGTAACACTATGTTTAGTAAAATTTCACATGATGTATTACATTTGGTCCTGGGAAGCAATTCCATTGAACTACTCTTGTGTTTTAACTGTTCTAAATTTAGTAACATATCATGTGACCTTTGACTATTGAACCTGAAACGCATTCATCATTTCGTTTCCACACAACCAATACGTACATCAAAAGTGATAGGATCCCGAGAACAAAAGTTATTGTATGGTAATAGATATTACTATTATTATGTTTTACATCAGGCCCGTATCTAGATCTTTTTCTACAACGAAAACCACATGGACAGTCTCCCACAAAGCTGTATAATAAACGTGAATTTTCCATTTCTCGATAGCAACATTCCTGCATCCCCAAACTATGAGGCTTGCATATTGCAGTTGATTCGATATTCGAGACTGTTCTTATTATTACGATTTTCGTGCAAGAAGTCGTCAACTAACAGACAAAGTCGTAACACTGGGTTTCAAAAAATACAGGCTGATGAAAATGATTTAGAAGTTTACCGTCGTTATAGTGATCTCATTGAAAAATATACTAACGGAAAAAAGAAACGGAAGTTTTTTTTCTGGTTTTAAATATTTCAAATGTTTTATGGATGATCATATCAATGATAAGATGTTTATATTAATTCATTATTACTGATTAAAATTCGATAAGTTCTGTTGTCTTAACACAGACGGCGTTGGCATGGATAGCATTTAAACGTGGATACCCTACGCCATTTCCTGATCAAAATCAATAGCGGGTGTGCCCACCTCGAGCTGTAGTCGCTGCTCTAACTCTCCTTACCATTGACCCCATCAAATTGTTTACGGTCCTTTGTGGGATGTTATTCCACTCTTGAAGAAGGGCCTGCGTGAGCTGAGCGACGTTGTTTGGGACGTTGACGCGCTTCCTGAGCCTCCTGTCAAACTCGTCCCACAAATGCTCGATCGGGGACAGATCTGGAATGTAGGGTGGCCAGTCGAGTACTGGGACATTGTTTTGGTTAAGGAAGTTTCGACACACCCTAGCAACGTGCGACCTCGCATTATCCTGCTGCAACGTAAGGTTTCGCGCTTGGATTAGTGGAACAACGTGAGGAATGAGGACCTGATCCCGATAACGGACGGCTGTAAGATTGTCTTGGATGAGCACGAGAGGTTTTTTCACGCCATGAGAAAACCCCGCCCAAACAATCACACACTCTCCCCCGAATCTGTCGTTTTCTTTAACGCATGCGTCAAGATATCGCCTCACCGCGACGTCGATAGCAACGTTTCCGTCCATCTGACCTGTACAACGTGAACCGAGACTCATCCGTGAATAACACACGTCTCCAGCGGGCCAAGCGAAACCGATTTGGTGCATGTGCACGCAGCCATTGCATTCAACGTTGACGTCGTCTGGGTGTAAGTTGCGGACCAACGTAGGGACGTCGTGGCCTTGAATTGAACTCCCGCAACCTATTCCTAATTGTTCTTGGACACACACGGCGACCATGAGTGCCTACAATATGACCTGCCGTCTCCGTCGCTGTCTGAAATCGGTTACGTAGGTGTGAGAGACGTATGCCCTGATCTTGACGTGGCGTCGTAACGCGTGGACGTCCGTTCCTGGGACAGTCAGCTAATCTTCCCGTGGCCCTGAGACGCTCAACTAATCGAGCTATCGTTGAATCATGGACTCCAAATTGCTGGGCGACAAGACGTTGCGATTGGTCCTGTAGAATTCGGGCAATAGCCTACCCCTATCAACTTCGGACATTCGCGGCATGTTGCTTTTTAATCGCCTTGGAATGAAATGTTGTGCACTGGATGTGTGCTATTCAAAACTTGGATTTAGTATGTTTTTTAAGTTGATAGCACGTGGTAGTGCTACGGAAAATCTGTCCAAATCGTGCAGCGTCGCCCGTCGTCACGGTTGACCGAATTTAAACCGACGATTATTTAGACAGTACACTGAGGTATATATGTGACACATTTCACATCATTTTCTCTACTGATAAAAAAGTTATATTACCAAAACTGAACATGCTTTTCTTTTTTCCGCTAGTATATATATACTCAACAAAAAATAGTTGTTAAGTCGTTTAAACCAAACTGGGTCAACATCCGATCGTCCCCGAAGCGGCCGACCCCGTAAAACGACCGCCAGGGATGACCGTCGTATATGATTGATACACTTGCGCAATCGATTCGTAACCGCAGTACAGACTACAAGGACATTGTTTGGGCGTCGTGTCTCCCCAAACAGGCCGCAACAGGTTGAGGGCCTACCAATTGAAAGCGTGGCGTCCCTACACTGGACCCAATTTGTTGCGACGTCACCGTAATAATCGGCGTAACTGGACCCGGTCACCGTCGTTGGGCCTTACGACAATGGAACAATGTTCTGTTTTCAGATGAGTCCAGGTTTTGTCTGCAACACGGTAACGGAAGGCGCAGAGTGTGGAGGCGACGAGGGGAGCGTTTTGCGAACTGCTGCGTCGCAGAACGGGACCGCTTTGGCGGCGGAACTGTAATTGTTTGGGGTGGTATTTGTGGGGAAACTCGTAACAGGCTTGTTGTGTTAAATGGCAATTTAACCGGCATTCGATATCGGGACGAAATTTTAAGACCAGTAGTTCTGCCATTCTTAAGACGCCATGGCGTTGGCGCCATTTTTCAACAGGATAATGCACCAGCGCACACCAGTCGCGTCAGCAGAAATTTATCGCAGCAGAATAACGCACAGGTGTTATATTGGCCATCTAAATCACATGATTTGTCACTGATTGAGCATGTCTGGGACGTTCTTGGGCGACGCGTGAGAGAACGTCAAAATCAGCCGTCAAACTTGCAGGAGCTGGCCCAAGCCTTGATGGCTAAATGGAACAACATCTCTCCTCGAATTACGAGTTTACGAGTTCCATGCGAAGACGCTGCAATGCTGTTTACTTCGCAAACGGTGGCCATACCCGTTACTAATGGTGTTACCTTTGAAATTGACCCCAACGTCTTTACAGTCGAATAAAATCAACTGAACACAAAGTTTTATAATGAAACATGACTGCAGTTTTATCAGAATTGATCAATTACTTTATTCGTACATGATTGGTAAGGATTTATGAAGGGGTTTATTAATTAATCACAGAATAAAGTAGTGTTACCTTTCTTTTTTCCGCTAGTATATATATATATCTTTGGGCGATATGAGGCTGCACGTGTTTGATGCTCGTTAGTTTACCAGTTGATTCCGTTGTTGTTTCCATTGTTCTTATTTGAGAACGTGACATTACTTACTTTGCTGACCAAGGTTTACATGATGTCGTCGATGAAGAAGAAGACCATTATTTTCCCTTGTACTTTTTTCAGAAGTCTCCGTGTATTTTTTCCTTACTTCATATTTTGTATTGAATTTTGAATTTGGACTATGATGATGTTGAAATATTGGTATTTCTGGTTGTTTTGATGCAAATCATGTGGCCTTTGATCTCGTAGCAACCTCGTGCGTTTCTCCCAAAAAAACAAACTGTGTACCAAATGTGTCTGTGATCGCCCATAAAGAACAGAAGTTATGGCATTAGAGACAAATGCTGACAGACGAACTGCAAACATTTTTTTTTCATCACAAAAGCATGGAAGATACTTGTATTTGGCGAACGAAACATAAATACTTACAGTTTCTGTAGGTTTGGATAAAACTGTAGCGAGGAATTGGTCAGTTCAGTAAGATCAGCTTGGTCCTCGATCATCCTGAAAAAACATAACAACATCGTGTAAAAGTAACAATAAGACCGACTTTTATATCACAAAACATATAATAATGACTGTTCAACAAACAAATAAGTGTTCTTGTCAAATAAGCCAAAACTGGAAGTGCCGGATTGTACAGGTTTTAATTAAGGTTTTTGAACTGATTATTTTTGCGGGTAGTGATATGTAGCGAGCGATGCACGTTGGTGAACACGCTTGTATCCGTATAAGAATAAAATAACATATCATTGATGTCATATTGACATTTGATATTTTTCATGGAGACATAGACAAAACATTTCGTTTTATTTTTGACACATACCCATCTACTGGAATCTCCCACACAATCAATAGTGTCGGTATGACACATACCCATTTACTGGAATCTCCCACACAATCAATAGTGTCAAGTCAGCATGACACATACCCATCTACTGGAATCTCCCACACAATCAATAGTGTCAAGTCAGCATGACACATACCCATTTACTGGAATCTCCCACACAATCAATAGTGTCAAGTCAGCATGACACATACCCATCTACTGGAATCTCCCACACAATCAATAGTGTCAAGTCAGCATGACACATACCCATTTACTGGAATCTCCCACACAATCAATAGTGTCAAGTCGGTATGACACATACCCATCTACTGGAATCTCCCACACAATCAATAGTGTCAAGTCAGCATGACACATACCCATTTACTGGAATCTCCCACACAATCAATAGTGTCATGTCTGTATGACACATACCCATCTACTGGAATCTCCCACACAATCAATAGTGTCAAGTCAGCATTACACATACCCATTTATTGGAATCTCCCACACAATCAATAGTGTCAAGTCGCTATGACATATTCACATACGTGAAGAAATATTTCCTTTGTTATTTTTTTCCAATACATAGAATCAAAACACAATTATTTCTACCGTTGATACATATTTTAAAGTTTATTTTCTAAAATGACTAAATCATGTCTATTGTGTCAAATATGAATACTGGCTTTTCTCTTTGCATCAAATAATGATCTAGAATATAACACTCTCCGTTTATGTAAAGATGGCTTTAGGTAAATTAAGTATCATGTCGGTTACATTCAGATCCGTCCTTGATGTTACCAACATTCTGTGTTTTCTTGTTTGATACCAGCATTCATGCTGACGTGTCCCTGATGTATCAGATGGAAATGATATTACTCCACTACGGAGATACAACGACGCAATTGGAAACAGAACGCAAAGACTAAAAGAACAGGCTATTTTTATGAAATTCGATCAAATCTGAAAATACTTGACTTAAATTCAACAGATTTTTTCATTCCTTTCCACTGATGCTGACTAGCATGTCTAAGTGGTGGCTGTGATCTGTAACTGATGTTGACTAGTATGTCTAAGTGGTGGCTGTGATCTGTAACTGATGCTGACTAGTATGTCTAAGTGGTGGCTGTGATCTGATTGTAACTGATGCTGACTAGTATGTCTAAGTGGTGGCTGTGATCTGTAACTGATGCTGACTAGTATGTCTAAGTGTTCGCTGTGATCTGTAATTGATGCTGACTAGTATGTCTAAGTGGTGGCTGTTATCTGTAACTGATGCTGACTAGTATGTCTAAGTGGTCGCTGTGATCTGTAACTGATGCTGACTAGTATGTCTAAGTGGTGGCTGTGATCTGTAACTGATGCTGACTAGTATGTCTAAGTGGTGGCTGTGATCTGTAACTGATGCTGACTAGTATGTCTAAGTGGTGGCTGTGATCTGTAACTGATGCTGACTAGTATATCTAAGTGGTGGCTGTGATCTGTAACTGATGCTGACTAGTATGTCTAAGTGGTGGCTGTGATCTGTAACTGATGCTGACTAGTATGTCTAAGTGGTGGCTGTGATCTGTAACTGATGCTGACTAGTATGTCTAAGTGGTGGCTGTGATCTGTAACTGATGCTGACTAGTATGTCTAAGTGGTGGCTGTGATCTGTAACTGATGCTGACTAGTATATCTAAGTGGTGGCTGTGATCTGTAACTGATGCTGACTAGTATGTCTAAGTGGTGGCTGTGATCTGTAACTGATGCTGACTAGTATGTCTAAGTGGTGGCTGTGATCTGCAACTGATGCTGACAAGTATGTCTAAGTGGTGGCTGTGATCAGTAACTGATGTTGACTATTATGTCTAAGTGGTGGCTGTGATCTGATTGTAACTGATGCTGACTAGTATGTCTAAGTGGTGGCTGTGATCTGTAACTGATGCTGACTAGTATGTCTAAGTGGTGGCTGTTATCTGTAACTGATGCTGACTAGTATGTCTAAGTGGTGGCTGTTATCTGTAACTGATGCTGACTAGTATGCCTAAGTGGTGGCTGTGATCTGTAACTGATGCTGACTAGTATGTCTAAGTGGTCGCTGTGATCTGTAACTGATGCTGACTAGTATGTCTAAGTGGTGGCTGTGATCTGTAACTGATGTTGACTAGTATGTCTAAGTGGTGACTGTGATCTGTAACTGATGCTGACTAGTATGTCTAAGTGGTGGCTGTGATCTGTAACTGATGCTGACTAGCATGTCTAAGTGGTGGCTGTGATCTGTAACTGATGCTGACTAGTATATCTAAGTGGTGGCTGTGATCTGTAACTGATGCTGACTAGTATGTCTAAGTGGTGGCTGTGATCTGTAACTGATGCTGACTAGTATGTCTAAGTGGTGGCTGTGATCTGTAACTGATGCTGACTAGTATGTCTAAGTGGTGGCTGTGATCTGTAACTGATGCTGACTAGTATATCTAAGTGGTGGCTGTGATCTGTAACTGATGCTGACTAGTATGTCTAAGTGGTGGCTGTGATCTGTAACTGATGCTGACTAGTATGTCTAAGTGGTGGCTGTGATCTGTAACTGATGCTGACTAGTATGTCTAAGTGGTGGCTGTGATCTGTAACTGATGCTGATCTGTAACTGATGCTGACTAGTATGTCTAAGTGGTGGCTGTGATCTGTAACTGATGCTGACTAGTATGTCTAAGTGGTGGCTGTGATCAGTAACTGATGTTGACTATTATGTCTAAGTGGTCGCTGTGATCTGATTGTAACTGATGCTGACTAGTATGTCTAAGTGGTGGCTGTGATCTGTAACTGATGCTGACTAGTATGTCTAAGTGGTGGCTGTTATCTGTAACTGATGCTGACTAGTATGTCTAAGTGGTCGCTGTTATCTGTAACTGATGCTGACTAGTATGCCTAAGTGGTCGCTGTGATCTGTAACTGATGTTGACTAGTATGTCTAAGTGGTGGCTGTGATCTGATTGTAACTGATGCTGACTAGTATGTCTAAGTGGTGGCTGTGATCTGTAACTGATGCTGACTAGTATGTCTAAGTGGTGGCTGTTATCTGTAACTGATGCTGACTAGTATGTCTAAGTGGTCGCTGTTATCTGTAACTGATGCTGACTAGTATGCCTAAGTGGTCGCTGTGATCTGTAACTGATGTTGACTAGTATGTCTAAGTGGTGGCTGTGATCTGTAACTGATGCTGACTAGTATGTCTAAGTGGTGGCTGTGATCTGTAACTGATGCTGACTAGTATGTCTAAGTGGTGGCTGTTATCTGTAACTGATGTTGACTAGTATGTCTAAGTGGTCGCTGTTATCTGTAACTGATGCTGACTAGTATGTCTAAGTGGTGGCTGTGATCTGATTGTAACTGATGCTGACTAGTATGTCTAAGTGGTGGCTGTGATCTGTAACTGATGCTGACTAGTATGTCTAAGTGGTGCTGTGATCTGATTGTAACTGATGCTGACTAGTATGTTTAAGTGGTCGCTGTTATCTGTAACTGATGCTGACTATTATGTCTAAGTGTTCGCTGTGATCTGATTGTAACTGATGCTGACTAGTATGTCTAAGTGGTCGCTGTGATCTGTAACTGATGTTGACTAGTATGTCTAAGTGGTCGCTGTGATCTGTAACTGATGCTGACTAGTATGTCTAAGTGGTGGCTGTGATCTGTAACTGATGCTGACTAGTATGTCTAAGTGGTGGCTGTGATCTGATTGTAACTGATGTTGACTAGTATGTCTAAGTGGTCGCTGTTATCTGTAACTGATGTTGACTAGTATGTCTAAGTGGTGGCTGTGATCTGTAACTGATGTTGACTAGTATGTCTAAGTGGTCGCTGTGATCTGTAACTGATGCTGACTAGTATGTCTAAGTGGTGGCTGTTATCTGTAACTGATGTTGACTAGTATGTCTAAGTGGTGGCTGTGATCTGATTGTAACTATTTGAGTATGAGTTGCTGTGATTAACTGACATTTGATTGATCCTTTGTCTCCATTTTGGTTTGATTGTAACCGATTCTGTTCAACATGTCTGTGACCGACGGTTTAATTGTGACTGGTGGTGTTTAAGACGACAGCTTCCTTGCTGTGATTTATCTAGACTGATGTTGATTATCATTAGGTGTGGTTTGATTTCAACTGGCGCTATGGATTCATTTCATCTGTTGTAGCATACACAGACTGGGTCCCCTCTGTGGATTCATTTCATCTGATGCAGCATCCACAGACTGGGTCCCCTCTGTGGATTCATTTCATCTGATGCTGCAAACACAGACTGGGTCCCCTCTGTGGATTCATTTCATCTGATGCTGCAAGCACAGACTGTGTCCCCTCTATGGATTCATTTCATCTGTTGCTGCAAACACAGGCTGTGTCCCCTCTATGGATTCATTTCATCTGTTGCTGCAAACACAGTCTGGGTCCCCTCTGTGGATTAAATTTCATCTGTTGCTGCAAACACAGGCTGGGTCCCCTCTATGGATTAATTTCATCTGTTGCTGCAAACACAGGCTGGGTCCCCTCTGTGGATTAATTTCATCTGTTGCAGCATACACAGACTGGGTCCCCTCTATCGATTTATTTCATCTGTTGCAGCATACACAGGCTGGGTCCCCTCTGTGGATTCATTTCATATGTTGCAGCATACACAGACTGGGTCCCCTCTGTGGATT